GGGAGTTGAAAGTCCGTGTTGCCCAGCGACAGCCCCAAAACATCACTGCTCTAGAGGAGATCTGCATGGAGGAATGGGCCAAAATACCAGCAACAGTGTGTGAAAACCTTGTGAAGACTTACAGAAAACGTTTGACCTGTGTCATTGCCAACAAAGGGTATATAACAAAGTATTGAGAAACTTTTGTTATTGACCAAATACTTATTTTCCACCATAATTAGCAAATAAATTCATAAAAAATCCTACAATGTGATTACTGGATTTTTTTCTTCTCATTTTGTCTGTCATAGTTGACGTGTACCTATGATGAAAATTACAGGCCTCTCTCATCTTTTTAGGTGGGAGAACTTGCACAATTGGCGGCTGACTAAATACTTTTTTTCCCACTGTATACTCGAGGAATTTTGAGTGGTTTTATCGATTAGTTATGAGGAATTAGATTGATACAAACGATTATTGATGAGTTAGGACTGGGGATATCTGTATTATGTTTTGTGTGTACTTACCATCTTTAGATTACTGATGGTAATTGAAGGTTAACTAAATGAATAATTTCTCTTCCAGGAGAAAGAGATTCGCTTATCTAATTGGAATGTTGCCCAGGGATAGGGGGAGCAGTTTAGTGGAGTTAGGCAGTATTTAGGTCGTAAAAGTGAGCTACCAAATTAAGTGGGGCCTGGCTATTTTTGGTTGTTGTTTTTTAATTGGGGTTTTCAAATAAAAAACAACACACCTATTATGATGTTTATAAAGCCTTGTTATTTTGATTTTAGGGGTTTTTCAACAGGTCAAATGTGATAAGTCTTAAAGGAGCACACACAGTGAATTTTATGGAGTTTTTCTGTTTTGACTGAGTTTAGGGTATACATGATTTCTTATGAGAATAAATGTCATGAGGACTTAATGAACACTTGGGATGAGTAACATTTATGAAATATTTAGAATGATGGTAATGTTTAGTATACTATGGGATGGAACAGTTCGTTGAATGATTTCAATTGCCTCTGAACTCTGTTTTGACTTTCTGGTGTTAATTGATCATCCACACTGGTAAATTCTAAAGGCATGAGAGGAGGACTTTAAGATAGTTTATTTTATCAAGTTGAGGGTAAGTTATAGTACTGTGAAAAGTGTGAAGAAATTTATAATTTGGTAATAATATATATGATTCGAACCATAAAATAACAGAAGAGAGAGAGAGCTTTCCCTGAATGAGGCATACCTGTTGCTAGTAAATTGTACTAATCTTGGATTACTTTTACGGGATAGAAGTAAGTTGAGGTATTATCAAATGTTGTCAGCAGGGTTAAAACACTTCTCTGGTCCCAGTCAGCTTTCAAAAGAGGAAGTTTCGATAGATAGAGATCTACTTATAGAGAGCTACAGTAGGGCCCCAATTAAGGAAGTTCACAGATGGGTGAAGCAAGGCGCAGTAAATAAGGAAGGAATATGGGTCAAAGACAGCTTACCAATTCTCCCGAAATTACTGTTTAGATATGCTGCAATATTGACTCACGGGCAGAGCCATGTGTCAACGGAGGGATGGATGGTAGAGCAGATTAGACAACACTTTGTTGCATATGGGATTACTAATTATAAAAATAAAATAAACGTTTGTTCAAGATGTGTTATCTGTGCTCAAAAGAATCACCAGGCCAGACAAAGGGCACCTCAGGGTGAGTATCCTCCGGCTAAGTACCCCTTCCAGCAATTGGAAATTGATTTTATAGAGTTACCACGGAGTGAAGGGAAGAAATTTAGAGTAACCCCAGACAAAGATGGGTTATCCCCCTTTGAGAAAGTGTTTGGAAGACCTTACAGAATGCCACAGTTGGCAGGACCAGAACAGGCAGACACAGAACTAGAGAATACACTAGCAGAAAATTGTTCATTAACCGTATGTCTAAGAATTTGTGTTCTACAGGAGAATTAAAGGAGAAGGTGATTCATAGTATATAACCTGAAGACTGGGTGTGGATCCAATCGTTGAGGAAAAAGGATTGAAAGTAATCACGCTGGGAGGGACCATACCAAGTCCTATTGGTAACTGCCTTCGCTATAAGAATAGCTGAGAGAGCCACTTGGGTCCATGTTACCCACTGCAAAAAGGTAGGCCCACATACCAACACCGTCGAACACACAGAGTTAAAGAGAAGAACTGCACCACTAGGGTTCGGGGGTAAACTCTGTTAACGAAGAAACCCTACCCCGACCTTTCATCACTGTGGGGTGTTTATAGAGGTCTGGGTATGGGAAAGTACCAGGCAGGTGGGTCAGGGACAGGATTGGGATGGCGGTTTTGGGGATTTTGGGGGACTCTGAGCTGCATCATCATGTTAACCATATTATGGATTAATCCAGGTCAACCTACACAGGGAAATGATGCACTGATTCGATCTCGTAGAAATACTGAAACCAAGAAAGACTATTGGGGGAATGATTATTTTAATAGTTAAAGTCAGTTTAGGACAAGATGGGGGATTCAAGATACCATTCGACTTCCCCCATGAAGAGAGAGGAGGTTTTGGGGGCTTTGGTAAGAAGGGGGCGTGTACAAAAAAGTTAGGTCCTAGAAGGTATGGTAAATACATTTGCTCTGGGGAACGCTCATGTCCTTGGGCAAGGGTGTTTAAACATACCTGGGGAACATACTATGAGAATGGAATGGACGCAGTACACCGATGGGCAATTAAACAAACCCATGATAAATGTAAAATGGAACTGGTGATAACGGTAAAGTAAATTATGCAAGATGACATAGCAAGGAACTATTGGGCCTGTGTTGATGATTTGGTGGCAGATATATGTTTGAGGTTCATTTTTCAGGAGAGAAATGAATCTTCCACCCCCGAGACAGAACAGCAGGTAGATCTAATGTTATCACCAGAGGTATCAACAAATAATCTAATACCCCTTGGAAGGCCCTCAGAAGGAATCCTAAATAGCACTAAACCACCAAGGGTAGAATATTTCCTCTTGCAGGAAATGAACCAAGGAGAAGTAGAAGGAATTTCAAATGAGAACTTCTGGGTAAGGTGGATGAACTACACAGCTAGGGCGTTGGGTCAAACTAATTGTTATGCCTGTTCAACAGGTAGGCCAACCCTTGTAACTGCACCTATGCCTCAGACCATGTTCTCTTGTGTGATAGATTTGGGATCAAACCAAACCTCACCTAATTGTTCTGATATTAAAATAACCACTCTTAAAAAGGATAATACTAAGGCACCCCAATTCACCATGAACCCCAGAGATTATCAATGTTATAGACACCAAAGTAATGCGAATCATAGATCAAATTGGAGAAGGGTTTACAACAACGTTTTTCTGGTGGGTTACAATTGATAAAAATGTTGACTGGATTAATTACATCTACAAAGGTTTGTTAATTAGACAAGGGATGCAGTGAAGAGAATCTCAGGCCAACTATCCGCCACCTCACTCATGACCTGCAGAATAGTTTGGTTCTCGAAATGCTTTTAGCTGAGCGGGGCGGAGTTTGTGTTCTGTTTGGATCTATGTGCTGTACTTTCATCCCCAACAATACAGCACCGGACGGGTCCGTGACCAAAGCTTTTCAGGGACTCACCACGCTGGCGAACGAACTGGCCGAGAACTCTGGTATTGATAGCTCCCTAAATGGTTGGTTTGATAACATGTTTGGTAAATGGAAAACTATTGTTGTAACTATTCTGGGTGCAGCTATAGCTTCTATGGGTATACTTGTTCTTTGTGGATGTTGTCTTATTCCCTGTGTCCGAGGGTTGGTGAGCAAGGCGTTGGAGAATGCAGTATCACAGCAGATGGTGAGATACGGCCCAATCCCGGACTCCGACCTAAGGAATGAAGAATATGACCCACCAGGCTTGGTGGAGGACGACGACGATTCAGATAGTTTGAGACTGGATGTTTTCCTAGAACTATAAATCTCTAGTTTAAAAGTAATTGTAATGATTTTCTGTGTATTGAAGTGTGGATAATTTAGTCAAAGGGTGGATTGATATAGAAATGAATTCTATATACAGGTTAAAAGTAATGACTAAATGTTCCACCCTTAAATATAGTTGTGAAATGTTCTTGTTTTAAGTATGATTAGTACTTTCTTAGTAGTGACTAATTATTACACTCTGAAACTGTGTGAGATATGTTAGAATCTACTACCTGGTAATGTGTGAGTGTAGGACCAGTAAAGATTATGACATTGTGCTACTATTTAGCAATGTGAGTAAGAGATAGGCCAGACAACAAAGGACAAGGAGAACTGTCTACAGGCAACTGAGAAACCAAGATAACTGAGGAATTTAGGGAGGAGAGAGACTATGATAAGAAAATGCATGTGTGTGTGTATGCATGTGTCTGTGTATGTATGTGTGTATGTGTGTGTGTGTGTGAACTGATGGTCAGGAGAGCAATTATAAAGTGGAAAACTATAGCCTGCCTACAGAGAGGAGGGATTTTTGTATGACGTATGAGTATAAAAGATGGACTCTGAAATTGTGATGACTATGCAGACCGGGACTCTGTCCGTTTCTTGATTTTGGGAGACGCACAGAGACACTGAAATAGTTTGTTAAATAATTCACATAACACCCCCTCTTGCTCTGTTTGTGGTCTATGTGTGTAGTCTTCCTGTAGTCTCAGAGAACAGTCTTCAAGTAGTCTGAGTGTGTAATCTTCAAGTGGTCGGTCTTCATTTTGGTCCCCCTCTTCTTCTACAGCTTCCTGTGGTCTGTGAGTGCAGTCTTCCAGTGGTCTGTCTTCACCTTGGTCCTCCTGGTCTCCAACTAGCACCTTACTGTACAGCTTCTGCTGCTCCTCTTTGGTGATTTTCACCTTCCCTCGCGTCAGCCCTCCATCCCTTAGATCAGACAGATAAATAAATAAACACTGTCTTGTACAACCCTAGGCACATGAACACTTGCACAAATGTACACTACATGATAAACACACAGCTAGGCATCGTGCTAGACAGAATCTCTCTCTGTGTGTGTGACGTGTCTTCACTTTAACTCACCAGAGCAGGTCCACCAGGCTCCTTTGACTCTGTTGGCAAACTGCACCACGTCCTCTCCCTCCTACATAGACATAGCCACAGAGAGGGTTCAGTCAGAGAGTGAACATGTAGTCCTCCATACCAGGATGGAGTTTTGGACTTATAACTGTCATGATGATTTAGGTCTAGCCTTGTTCATAACTGCATTAGAAAAAGCAATAACTGCAACGTTCGTTACTGGGCTAAACCCAAAGCAAGGTCATGTGAGCGAAGGCCTCACCTCTCTGCTCATAAGTGGCAAGTATCAGACTCTGCAGACGACGGCCCAGCTGCTCATCACCCTCAGACCATCCCAAACGTACTGTTGTTCCAGAACGCATCGCCAAACCTAGGGTCATACTGTCACAGAGACAAAGGAAAGAGGTAAAAGGGAGAGAGAGGGCGAGGGATCGGGATTAGGTGGTTGAGAGAGAATGATCAATAAAGCAGTGGTAGAGATATAGAGAAAGGGAGAGACTACCTTAATGGCCACAGGGTATAGTGCAGTCGATCTCAAAGCTGCCCTTTTTGAACATCATCACTGAGGAATTGTTGATGCAGGTGCCTGAGTGGGAAACACATTGTCACGCCATGGCATTACAAACTCACACAGATCCAACACAGCGTGAATCTTTATAGTCATTATTACAGCCTTCATTAGGTGTCTTAACTCATCTCTATTTGAGCAGCAATCAATCTCAATCCATCAGAAAAGTTTCCATACTAACCCTCTGGGAAGATGACGATGGGGTGTTTAGTTGTCTACAACATGGTTGTTAAGCCTGGAAAATATAATAAAGAAATGTATGTTGATAACATGCTAATAATATAACTGTTTTCACCACGTTATAAGATTGTGACAGAATTTATTTTCTGCTTTTTAATGCCCCCAGGCAACAGTCTGAGGATGAGAAATGGCTCTGTGTAGCTCAGTTGGTAGAACATGGCGTTTGCAATGCCAGGGTTGTGGGTTCGATTCCCACGGGGGGCCAGTATGAAAAAATGTATGCACTCACTAACTATAAGTCGCTCTGGATAAGAGTGTCTGCTAAATGACAAAAAAAAAAATGGAAGGAAAATATACAGTCGTTTCTCAACACGCCACCTGCAGTATTACCTATTGACCACAAGGTGTCAGTCTTTGACTTTGGATCTCACAAACCAGATGTGGGGGCTGGATTTCACCATGGTTCTCTGGACAACCCCAATCAGATCACCATGGATCTGGCCAACCTGAGAGAGGACATGAAGACTGAGTGGCAACATTGATCAACTAATCATCTTGGCAAACAATGGGTTATACATCTGCCAACCAAATGCCCCACATGTTCCGAACTTGCACACATACACAACAGAGACGGACTCACATACACACACAATGCTCACAGTTACACACTAGAATTTACATACCATAGAAAAGCAGCCATCATTGGCCAGGATGATGATGGCAATGGGAGTTGTGTGATTGGCCACACAGATCTCTCCTTTCTTTGGTTTGTTCTCACTGTGGGCAGAGCAAAGAAACGACAATGAGACACATTAACAAAACTGCCTTTCTCATAAAACTACCAACAACCAGTGTGTGCCACTAATTCACATAAAACTGGATTTGAGCTCAGTACAGGCTACGGTGGTGGGTCACTAAACAGGCAGAAAGCTGTCTGAGCTGATGTTGTGGATAGCTACTAGCCAGTGAGTAATTGGTTGGTCTACAGTACCAATTGTGGTAGGTGATGATGGCAGTGAGGGATCGGACAGAGATGCGACAACACATTAGATTAACCTTCTAACTGAGGTACGTCCTTAACCTGAGGAGATCAACACAATGACAATAAGCCTTTCACCCACACATAATCTTCTTGTGTACGAGGTACTGTAACTTTGTGTATTCTGAGGTTATGTTGGTGGAAGAAGCCCACTATGGTAGTCAAGACCACAAGCAGACAGATACCAGTAGCTGCCAGAGTATAGAACAAAAAACAGAATTTCAGTCAATCCACCAAACATCAATTTGGTTGACAACACGTTGCGATGTGCAAAAAGATGATTTCATGCTAAATAACCACAATTGTAATGAATGTAATTTGTAGACTTCTAGGAAGCCGTAGCGGATGAGGAGACCCATTAAGCAGAGCACGCTGAGCCGCAGGCTGATGTGGTGGAAGTTGTAGTTGCTGCGGGTCAGCAGGTTCCAGGACTCCAGCTCCTGAGCAGAGAAGCGCATGGTCACCTCGTCATCCACAATGATCTCCACCCCCCGCCGGCAGAAAGACATTTTGTCCGGCATCTCAAACGCAGAGTGGTGCCGCTGGCTTGGAGCTCCTGCTCCAGTGAGGACAGCTCTTTAGATATGATACCTGAGACAGCGAGAGGGAGGGAGAGGGATAGAGAGAGTTAATGCAACAACAGAGACATTGCCATTCCCATAAGTGAGAAATGCACATCAAAAGGTCGTATCATTGCTATAGGGTTTATAAAGATGTTGATTATTCTCCTTTGCGCCTCTTTCCATCCGCACAGTAGCCCACTAAAAAGAGGGGGGTATCATATATTAGTCATATATTTACTTTTTTTAAACCATTAATTGTATCCCCAAGGTATTTTAAGCCATATTCTAAAGCTTATGACATTGACCTTTATATTCATAATTCTTATCATTTGATGTGAAGCAATCATTCCTCTGTGGCATGATATCATCATTTATAAGCCTGAAGTTGCATCACGTAGTCTCGGGGGCCAGACTCGGCATCTCCCACATGATTATGTTAGCCTGACCTAGCAAGACTACATCACATGGTACAACTGACAAGCAGTCAGAGCTAAGTAAGCGGGTCCACAGAGAATAGGAACACAACAGCTACACTATATATATAAAGGTATGTGGACACCCCTTCAAATGAGTGGATTTGGCTATTTCAGCCACACCCGTTGCTGACAGGTGTATAAAATCAAGCACACAGGCATGCAATCTCCATAGACAAACATTAGAATGGCCTTACGGAATAGCTCAGCGACTTTCAAAGTGCCACCTTTCCAACAAGTCAGTTCGTCAAATTTATGCCCTGCTAGAGCTGCCCATCAACTGTAACTGCTGTTATTGTGAAGTGGAAACGTCTAGGAGCAACAACGGCTCAGCCGCAAAGTGGTAGGCCACACAAGCTCACAGAACGGAACTGCCGAGTGCTGAAGCACGTAAAAATAGTCTGTTCTCGATTGCAACACTCACTACCGAGTTCAAACTGCCTCTGGAAGCAACTTCAGCACAAGAACTGTTCGTCGGGAGCTTCATGAAATGGGTGTCCATGGCCGATCAGCCGCACACAAGCCTAAGATCACCATGCGCAATGCCAAGCGTCAGATGGAGTGGTGTAAAGCTTGCCGCCATTGGACTGTGGAGCAGTGGAAACACGTTCTCTGGATTGATGAATCACGCTTCACCATCTGGCAGTCCAACAGACGAATCTGGGTTTGGCGGATGCCTGGAGAACGCTACCTGCCCAAATGCAGTGCCAACTGTAAAGTTTGGTGGAGGAGGATTAATGATCTGGGGCAGTTTTTCATGGTCCGGGCTAGGCCCCTTAGTTCCAGTGAAGGGAAATCTTAACGCTACAGCATACAATGACAGACGATTCTATGCTTCCAACTTTGTGGCAACAGTTTGGGGAAGGCCCTTTCCTGTTTCAGCATGACAATGCCCCCATGCACAAAGCAAGGTCCATGCAGAAATGGTTTGTCGACATCGGTGTGGAAGAACTTGACTGGCCTGCACAGAGCCCTGACCTCAACCCCATTGAACACCTTTGGGATGAATTGGAACGTCGACCGCGAGCCAGGCCTAATCGCCCAACATCAGTGCCCGATCTGACTAATGTTCGTGGCTGAATGGAATCAAGTCCCCGCAGCAATGTTCCAACGTCTAGTAGAAAGCCTTCCCAGAAAAGTGGAGGCTGTTATAGCAGCATATTAATGCCTATGATTTTGGAATGAGATGTTCGACGAGCAGGTTTCAACATACTTTTGGTCATGTAGTGTAGATGCAGAACACAGATAGCTAGCTATAACGTTATGGCAAATGTGTCATTTAGCAAACAGTGATGACGTCCAAACGATTCTACTCACAAAATATGTCAATGACCGCTACAGACTGTGTTTACTCATATCTTTTTGACTTGGGCGAGCTCCAACAAGGAACAATTCTATGATAAACATATTAATCATAATCTGACTCCAGTCCCTCTCTGTCTCTTATCATCGTCGACTGTTTATTACTGTCTGCGAGACTTCTTCTTCTTCTTCTGATTTTATATGGCGGTTGGCAACCAACTTTAAGGTGCATTAACTGGACTGGAATGTGGAACAGAGCCAGTGACGGTCTAAATATTACCCAATATTCTTGTGTCTCTAAGGAAACAAAATACATAATTAAATACTACATCCCCTGAAGTTCACGTAATCCTAGTTCTTCAACCCCATTACTCTTCAAATCTAATAACAATCGCTCCCTTTCCCTCACATATTTCTGCCGCTGAAATAAAACATGTTCCACTGTCTCCATCTCGTCCTTACAATGATCACACCTCCCAGTCGGATGTTTACCCACCACTTTCAATGTACTATTTAGCCTTGTGTGTCCCAGTCTCAGCCTTGTGACTACACTTTCCTCCCTTCTCTCTCGGCCTGAGGACCTCCCTGCCCCCACCTTTTCCTGGATCTTATACAGGTGTCTTCCCTTTCTCTCCCTGTTCCACAACCCTTGCCATTTGTTTTTAACCACCGTTCATCTGCTTTACTGATTGAGAATTCCATCTCAACATTAGGATGTTTAAGAGCCTGTTTGGTGATAGCATCCACCTCCTCATTCCCCTCTTCTCCCACATGAGCTGGTACACAGAGGAACATCACGAATACCCCCATCTTTTTCACCCTATACAAGCACTGCAAAACCTCATACAATACATCCTGTCTGCTCTGAGACACACATGAATTTAAGCTCATCATTGCTGCACAGGAGTCAGAGCAGATGACTACCCTGTCTGGCCTTACCTCCTCCACCCACTCTGCAGCCAATAGTATGGCCAACAACTCCATTGTGTAAACAGATAAATGATCTGTTGCTCTTTTCGTCACTGCCACCTTAAACTCAGGAACACTAAAAGCTGCCCCCGTTCTCTCTGTTTTAGCGTCCTTAGATCCATCTGTGAATATATTCAAGAAAGCATAATATTGTGTTCTTAAATGTTCACTTACAACTGAATCCACTCCTTCCTCAACATCTCTTACCCTCTCAAGCAATCCCAGTTCTATCACTGGTTGAGGGAGAAACCAAGGTGGGATAGCAGGAAGATCCACAGAGGGGCTAAACTCCCTCCCAAACAACCCCATCTATATTGCCATGCCATTGCCTATCCACCCAAAACTTGTATTCAGATTTTGTTCATGTTTTCAGCACTCTAGGAGCACCTTTTTGTAGGATGTGAACCTTATCTCCTTCTAGATTTACCCAATATGTCATGGCTAGCTGTTGTCTTCTTAACTTTAAAGGCATCTCTCCCAACTCTACCTGCATCGCTGCCACTGGGGAGGTCCTGAGTGCTCCACAACATATTCTTAGGGCTTGGGCCTGGATTACATCTAGCTTTTTAAAATATGTCTGAGCTGCTGATCCATATGCTATACTTCCATTATCCAATTAGCAGCGCTATATATATCATTTTAAATGCCATTCTATCTGCTCCCCACTCCATTCCTGACAAGCAATCAATCAATCACATTCAATATTTTCTTTCCTTTGACAACTACTCTGTTAATATGCTCTGCCCATGTCATTCGATAGTCAAACCAGACCCCCAGGAACATAAACCCTCCCACCCTCTTCAGATTCCTTCCATACAACATCAAGTATATTTCCTCCCTAATCTTCCTTCTAGAAAATTACACAGTCTGTGTTTTCTCAACTGAAAAGTTCAAGCCCCAGCTGAGGGACCACTGCTCAACTTCACTGATCGCTTCCTGAACTCTCCTGGCTGTATGGGGAATATTTCTCCCTCTCTTCCACAGCGCTCCATCATCCGCAAACAATTACCTCCCAATATCAGTTCTCACCTGGGAGAATACATCATCAATCATAATGGAGAACAACAAAGGACTAATGACACTTCCCTGGGGGGTACCATTATCTACCTCATAGCTTTCTGACAAATAGCTCCCCACCCTCACTTGTATTGATCGACCAAAAATAAAATCCTTTATCCAGTTAAAAACCTTTCCTCCAACCCCCATGTTATCCAACTTGATAAGTAGGCCTTCCTATTTATTTTATTTTATTTCACCTTTATTTAACCAGGTAAGCCAGTTGAGAACAAGTTCTCATTTACAACTGCGACCTGGCCAAGATAAAGCAAAGCAGTGCGACAAAAACAACAACACAGAGTTACATATGGGGTAAAAAAACATAAAGTCAAAAAATACAAAATAAAATATATATACAGTGTGTGCAAATGTAGCAAGTTATGGAGGTAAGGCAATAAATAGGCTATAGTGCAAAATAATTACAATTAGTATTAACACTGGAATGCTAGATGTGCAAGAGATTATGTGCAAATAGAGATACTGGGGTGCAAAAGAGCAAAATAAATAACAATATAGGGATGAAGTAGTTGGGTGGGCTAATTTCAGATGGGCTGTGTACAGGTGCAGTGATCGGTAAGGTGCTCTGACAACTGATGCTTAAAGTTAGTGAGGGAGATAAGAGTCTCCAGCTTCAGAGATTTTTGCAATTCGTTCCATTCATTGGCAGCAGAGAACTGGAAGGAATGGCGGCCAAAGGAGGTGTTGGCTTTGGGGATGACCAGTGAGATATACTTGCTGGAGCGCAGACTACGGGTGGGTGCTGCTATGGTGACCAATGAGCTAAGATAAGGCGGGGATTTGCCTAGCAGTGATTTATAGATGGCCTGGAGCCAGTGGGTTTGACGACGAACATGTATTGAGGACCAGCCAACAAGAGCGTACAGGTCACAGTGGTGGGTAGTGTATGGGGCTTTGGAGACAAAACGGATGGCACTGTGATAGACTACATCCAATTTGCTGAGTAGAGTGTTGGAGGCTATTTTGTAAATGACATCGCCGAAGTCAAGGATCGGTAGGATAGTCAGTTTTACGAGGGCATGTTTGGCAGCATGAGTGAAGGAGGCTTTGTTGCGAAATAGGAAGCCGATTCTAGATTTAACTTTGGATTGGAGATTCTTAATGTGAGTCTGGAAGGAGAGTTTACAG